GAAACAAATTCACCATTCAAGAAAACAGTAACTTCCGCAACATAGAGATAGTGTTCACTTTGGGAGTGAATTTTGACTACAGTTTAGCTGATGGAACTGAACTCAATGTAAGAAAACTTTTTCTTCTTCTTAGTATTATAGAGTTTTCCTGTTGATGTGGGCTACCATAACCCACCTCAATTACTGTTCTCATGGATAAAGATTCCTGGTTTCCTTAATCTTTTCTCATAGGAGTTAGTTTCCGATCCCCTGGGTTAGCTGACAAGATGGTTGAGAGGCTATACAGCAAAGGGTTCCAAAACACACCCACTTTAGTTACAAATATGTTCAACCATAATAAAAATCTTCCTTCCTCTCTTTTTTCCCTCTTTCCTTCAGCTTCAGTCATAGCAATACAAGAGCACACAATAGATACAAACTCAAGGTTAACAGCACCAAACTTGACTGCAGAAAATACAACTTCAGCAACAGAGTAGTCAATGTTTGGAATACTCTAACTGACTCTGTGGTTTCTTCCCCAAACCCCAAAAACTTTAACCTTAGACTGTCTACTATTGACCTCATCCCCTTCCTAAGAGGCCTGTAGGGGGCGTGCATAAGCGCACCAAACATGCCTACCGTCCCTGTCCTATTGTTCCTTTTTATTTTTCTTATAAGTATCTATCCCCTGTATTCGAAACTGTTTATTCTTATACCTGTATCTTGTAAGCGATTGAAAAATCAAATAAATACTAAATAAATACTAAAATATGCATGTCGTGTACTGTAGGGAACCTGGGACATGAAAGGAACCCAACTGGTAGGTTCATTCACCCGGAAGGATAATGGAAAGAAACTTGACGCACTGCGGGAAATTGTAGGAGACGAAATGATTCAGGTAAGTGTATCATAGATATTTTTTATATACAGTAATCAACAGCAATAGAAACGTATATTATCTTACCAAGGAACTGAGAAGATTTAACAAACAAAAAAAACCCACTATTAAATATTTACTTGCAGTTGTAAGAAAAAAATAGTTGAGAAGCCAGTTATGGGGCTAAAGCAAAAGAAAAGAAAATCAGATCGCAACCTGAAATAATAACCTCTTCTTAAATTCAAAACATGAAAAACCAATTGTAAAATGTTTGACAATATATTAATCATAAGTGGGGCCTTGTCGTGAACCCTGGCCACATGCAGTGCTCCTTGCAGGATTCCATTCCACAATCTGGTTTTGCCTACATTTGCTTTCTCCAATGGTCTCATCTCTATCTCTTTGCTAATATGGGCTCTACCACAATAAACAATGTCCTGATCCAAGTGCTTCTTGGGTTTTACTGTAGCCCAACTTGGGAATGAACTTAACTTCTGAGACAATTTAATTAATAATTCCAGGAGCATTTCTCTTTCTGGATGCAGTGGCTGTATTGTTGAGTAAATACTAGGATTAATCAAAACTGTTCAAACAGGACTATGTGTCATCTATTTTTGGGTCATTATTTAACAATAAATATTTGATTTTAGCCTATTTATGCCACTTTAAAAAGAGCTGGTTTCTGGAATATAGAATTAAACTATTTCTGAGAAAATAAGCACTGTAGATCCAGAAAAATATTGCTGATATTCTGACCTGTTTTACTTATTTTAAAAATAAAATCTTTTCAGACTTATACCTATGAAGGAGTAATAGCCAAAAGATTCTTCAAGAAAGCATAAACAACTATTGCTGAAGACTGAAAACTATCAGAAGATCACTTGTGTTTTCTTTATATTTTCTTAACCAAATACAAAGTAGCTAAATACTAATATTCACTTAAGATATATTTATCTTTTATGCACCATGACTATTTAGCTAAATGGTGTTGCTGTATCAATATTAAATTTACTTTTTATAAATGGGAAAAAATAAACCTTATTTCTATTCCATATTCTAGAAACATTGTCTTTCATTGTTGCTGTGACTTAAGTGTGGATAATCGTTTATTTAACTGAATATTTAAAATAAATTATCACTCTTTTATAAAACACTTATAAGAATTATCTAGTCTGACCCAAATACTATACAAGTATGTTAGTTTTTTCAAATTCACTTAGTTCTATTATTTTTGCCATATTAGTTTTTATTTTTGTGATTTCTTAAAAACACAACTATTTTTATGTAGATTTGGAAAGAACAAATTTTGTACACACCTTCTCATACACTTTCTCAAAATGTCACTTAATATAATGTATCCTAATTACTGTCCTGTCCAAATTTAAGTCCAAATTTAAAATTTATAGTACACATTAAAATACAACTATAAGAAACTCTATCTCATCTGTCTTGAAATTAATCTGCCTTTAAAATGAAGAACAAGCCCAGACAAATGTATTCGTTGACCAATTTTCCTTTAAATAAAAATTACTGGAGCATCTATTAATACGCAGATCTAACTCAGTGTATAACCAAGCCTATTGCCCCCATATCATTTAACAAATAATATCCACATTAGACCACAACAGAGATTCAGTGTCGTGTGATTTTTAGTATTTGCCAGTGAAATCCTAATACAAATAATTAGAAAAGATAGAGAATTTCAGCTGAGGCCTTCTTGTTCAAGATTATTTGCTGTTAAATAAGTGTCAACTTTTAATTGTCACATAATTAGATTTTCTATAGCAGGCCTGTCAAACTCACAGCCCACAGGCCGGATGCCTCACGCGCTGGCCACACTCACGCCCAGTTTAGCAAAGAGGAAAAAAGACAATATGTCACGTGATACCATCTTGACGATGCGAGTTTGACACCTCTGTTCTATAGGATTACAAATAGTCCTCAATTCATTGGTGACTGTTCAAAATGAAAACATTGACTTATGACTGTTTTTCACACTTAACAATCCTTGCATAGTCTTGTGATCAAAATGTGGATGTCCTGTAACTTTAGTTATGATGGCTGTAACATCCAGGGGTTATGTGTTCACCTTTTGTGACCTTCTGACAAGCACAATCAATAGAGAAGCCAGATTCACTTAACAATTGCAGCAAGAAAGATTGTAAAATGAGGCAAAATTCATTTAACATCTGTCTTGCTTAGCAAAGGCTATTTTGGGCTCGATCGCATGTTGAGGTCTATCTATATTTTCAGCTTGATCTTTCAAATCTTTTTAGTCTATGTCTGCTATACTTGAGTCTACCATCTGTGACTGGCTATCCTGTTCTTTTTTCTTCCACTTTTCCCAACAACAGCGATTTGTCAAAGAATCTCAAAACATTATTTTTCATAAATGAGTTAAAATACTTTAACTCAAAGAAATACATGTAAAACTGTTCATAGAGACAGCATTGGCTCCACCTGTTGATAATCTTAGCTGGAACCAGGATGATGGTAGTACACCCATTTTTGTGCTCCTTGAAGCTCCCAACGGTCAAAGCTCTTTGACAGTTTTTGATACTATCAATCAAACTATCTTTCTGAACCAACCACAAAATTTGGTAGGAGATACTGTACTATTGTTGCAGGAAATTAAGAGACTCAGACCTTGGACTCCAAAAATAAATTGGTTTTATTTCCGCAAACAGGTTCAGAATATTTAGTAAGAGTCACTTCCGAACAAATTTCTTACAGAACAGCACATGCCTATACGCTTCTTCAGAAGGGGCAAAAACATAGAAATATAACTTGTCAGTCATTCATTGGTTACTTGAAACACAGCTCTCCCCCTCCCTGTTGCTAGGCTAGGATGGCTGGATGTCACAAACCCATCTTGCTAAACTCCCTAGCTTGTGGTTTTGTTACAGGCAAGACAAGGTTTCTTGGCAAATATGACTTTGTGACCGATAGATGAACCTTGTGGTTTGTCATTTCACATTTCCTTGTTCTTTCTTTTGCTAATAGCATGTATTTCACCATCTATATTTCTCTAAAATTAATATATTTTTAATGCCCTGCCTTATTATGGTTTATTTATTTGTTAGATTTTTATCCTACCTTTACTATTCATAAGAAACTCAAGGCTGTGAATATACATAGGGCTCCATCTTCCCCTGCAATAACCCTATGAAGTGGGGTGGGCTGAAAATGGGAATACAGAATATGAGTTGCAGAATTTGGGAGGTCTTCTAATCTCTCCTCAAGCAGGAGACCATCCCAGGCAAATGACTGTCCAATATCTTTTTTAAAATCTCCAGTGATGACCCACAACTTCTGGATATAAACCATTCCACTAATGTTTATCCTGCCTTCAGATGCTTTGGAGAATTGAAATCCCAACACGATTCAAAAGCAGATACGCAACTAAGGAGGGGACTGGAACTTAAGTGTCCTTGTTTTTAGGCCAATACCTTTACCACTACACCACATTGATTCTCTTTCCTCTGTGGCTTGTTACAATTTCTGTTGACAAAGGGCAGAGATGTGTTCCTCTGTTTCTCCCTGGGACCTGCCTCAGAGCTCAATGCCCCCTTTTCTTTTGCTATCCATTTGAAACCATTGGGTGAAGAGGTCATCCCTTAGTTGGGAGTCTTGTATCAATTGGTCAGCAGACGGTAGATGCGCTTGTATCCCTCCAGCATTCTGACTAGAGCAGGAGTCTCCAACCTTGGCAATTTTAAGAGTTTATCTTACTAAAATTCCCAGAATTCCTCAGCCAGCAAAGCAAGTTGAAGTCCACAAGTCTTAAAGTTGCCAAGGTTGGAGACCCATGGACAACTCTGCTAATTCCGCACTTCTTAAAAAGTTGCCAACTCTGGGGGAGGGAGGGGGGGGCGACGGACGGGACTGTAAATTAACCTCTACGGCGAGAAAAACGATTGCTTCTTTTTTGAGCCTAAATGAAAACCACACAACTTTTCAAGGAATGTAAACTCCTTATTATCTGTATGCACCGCCGCGGACATCCAAGCCCACTACCCCGCCCACCAGAGCTTCTATGCCGTACAGAATTCCCCTTCGCAGGGGTCAACCACAGGCTCCTCCCCCTGTCTCAACAGACATAAAATGGCTCCACCTCACCGGAAGTCTCTACCGGAAACTTGACTATTGCGCCTCTCCTTTTTTTTTATCTCTATGGTGATAAACTGTCCTATGTACGCCGGGCGCGGTTTCGTAGAATAAGTCATCCTTTTCCGTGTGAGGGGGGATAATGGAGGCTGCGGAAGGCGTTGAGGTACGAGGCCGCCGAAAGGCTGAACATGAACCGGACCGGCTCGCAGCCGAGGTGGCCGAAACAAGGCAGAACATCTCCTGCGGGCCCCCTCTCTCCGGGACGTCCTACTGGCTGGACCTCTGGCTGATGATCCTCTTCGACCTCGTACTCTTCGTCTTCGTTTATTTGCTCCCTTAGCGGCAGCATCGGAGGGGTGAGTCGAAAGTGGGGTGGGCGGCGGCGGCGGCGCAGGAAAACGAAGGAGACGCCTTGGGGACACGGGGGGATAACGGAGTCCCAGGAGTTCAAGGTTTGAAGAGAAATCGGCAGGATGCCGTTTGAGCGCTTTGGAGTTTCGTATAAATCGAGTGAAGCCGGCGGTGTGGGCTTGGGATGTGCGGTCTCACATCTTTTGGGATGTGCGGACACGAATTGATGTTAAGTTGAAGAGCCTAATAAGTCTTAAACTGCCAAAACATTTTAATGTGGTGGATGAGAAATTATGGAATTCACTATAGTTTTAATAGGAAAATGATCAAACAGAAAAGAGTTAGAGGAACACATTGCGTAACACTTAAAGAAATACAACCAATGCATTTGCCTAAGTCCAGATGCTGTCAGGTTTGTATATATTGGGACAATGGTAATTTTGGGGGGCATTTGGCCTCCGTACACATTGAATTTGAAATGAAATGGTCAAGATGTGAGTAAAGTGGAAGCAGTCAGCTTTAATTCAAGAGATTTGACAAAAAGTGTGGCGTTTAACATTGAGGAATTACAGCCATTTTAACATTTAAAGATGGAACAAACTAACATAATTACAAATATAAACATTGTTTTTAATAGTTGGATGAAAATCCTTTGCAGTCAATGACTGCATGAAGTCTATAACCCAAGACCATAACTACTGAGTTTGCTCATTTGAAATGCTTTGCCACACCTTTATTGCAGCTGCTTTTATCTGTTGCTTGTTTGCAGGTCTTGTCATTGTACCAACATGTACCAACCTGATTATAATTCCCTTTTCCTCAAGCTGGAGCAGGTAGTTCCCTTTCCTTTAATACCGATGCTTTTTGTGCTCCAAAATATTCAACCCCAGGACCCAGTTTCCTTTCCCTTCTTGCTAAGAAGCAATTTAATTCTTAAGCATTTTGCCACTAAATAGCTAGTCCTGTTTCAGCAGTATGTGTAGCTCAGGGTTGAACTGTGGAGTTCTTGGTGCTCCATAAGCTTTTGTGTTTATTTGCATGTTTCTTTACATGACTAGGTAATACCATTAGTGTCTGTGTGGGGCTTTCTTGGTGATTTCTTGATTGGTTTTTTTTTTTGCCTGATTATCTGGTGTTAATCCTTAGTTATCTAAACATTGACTGCTGGAGGGGATAGTTTGTAGCCTTTTTGTTTCTTTCCTATGTTTTCATAGGAAGAATACAGCTGCCTGAATTTGCATCTACTGGAAAGTTTTAGATGGTATCTAAAATTGCTGAGGCAAAGAATGAATGAAAGTGATTATGAAAGTTTGATATCCAAATATTACTGTTGTACATTTCAGGACATAGTGTAGCAACAAACAATAGTAAACACTGTAAATATATGAGGGAGATAAATATGTCTAATTCTAAGGAAGCGATATGTTTAAAACTTTTTAACAATTGTATTTATGAAGTATCAAGTTTTCAAAACAGGGATTTTGTGTGTGTGTTTGAAAAAAATCAATTTTAAATGGTTTGATTTTGGAGTTATTGATTGAGAATGTTGGACTAATTCAGAAAATAGATTTTTTTGCAATTAAAAAATGTAATGCCATTTATATCTTAATGGATATGATTGTTTTTTACTTGTTGCAATCAAGACAGACCAAGTAAAAATGTAAATCACTTTATGCCATAAAGAAAAAAAAAATGGCTGACTGGTTATGTCTTCTTATGGCTCCATAGCATTATACCAGGGGGTGTCAAACTGGCGGCCTGTGGGCCGGATGTGTCACGTGCAGGCCATGGGAAAGAAATCAAGCTCAGGTCGGCCCGGCTCTTTTGGTTGGCAGGAGGGCGCACACCCGCAGCTCGCTTTCCCGGATCTGCCCAGCCCGCCCGGCTCTGGCGGGATGAGCGGAGGGTCTGGCAGGGAGGCGCTCGCTGCCTTGGCGAGAGCTCCACCACTGGACAGGAGGGCCCGCCTGCCGGCTGCGCTGGGCGCTCCAGGCGAAGCTCTTCATGCTCTGCCCGGCACCAGGCAGGGATGGCAACTGGGCGCTTCTCCCAGGGTGGGCTGTTCCTGCGCTGCGGCTCCGGGAGATTCGCCTCCCCATGTGGGGTTGGGCTGCCCTCTTGGGCAGGGGAGTCTTTTTCATACTGGTAGTAGGGCGTCATTTTTAAAAGAATTGGCTTTGCCTTCGATGGTGAAGGGAAGGCAGCGACAGGAGCGCCTGAAGCTGAGTGTTTCCGCCGGGCTCCGGTTGCAGGGAGGAGCCCTGGCTGGTCACACGTGGTTGTGCGAAACGCCACGGCGTTGCTCTAAACGCCGCGGCAGCACGGGGAGAAGGGAAAGCAACGGTGGTGGAAGGTCTCCCGATACGAAGTGCCCCACCAAGGCCAAGTTCAGCGCAGGCAGCACCATATCTGGGTATGCCACAAAAGTACTTCCTAATGGGAAGCCCCCCCATTCCCCCTCATTTCACATGTTTAATATAGGCCTTAAATTGGGGGGAGGGGCGTAATTTGATTTTATGCCTATAAAGCATGCTGGGACTTCCTATTGGGGGAGGCCGTATTGTTGGAGAAACACGGTTAGAATTCTGATGCACATTATATTGGGTACAGGTTTTTTCACTGATTGATTTAATTTTTGTTTTCTTTATACTGCAGACAATCAGACTGCCTTCAAGAAAAACCAGCTAATGCTACTCCTTTAGCTGCTCTTGCTTCACGACCAAAATAAAACAACACTGGAAAACTCTTTCATCAGAAATCTCAATAATAACTGCTCTTTCTATATTTGAAGTATTGACATATTTTTGATGAGCAATTGGATGTGGTGAACTTGCTCTATGATGAACTGTCATGTTTCACATTATTCAATAAGTGCAAATTGTGCCTTACATTAAATATAACACTATCATTGAACTGTTCAATTAAGTTTGAAGTTATCTATTTTCAGCAATCAACTCTGTACTACCATCCAAGTGGACTGGAGAGGAATATCTCTGTAATAGTAATCTATGAACTCCTAGCATAAAATTCTGGTCTGCATTTACAAAGTACAGCAATAATAGCAATACAATCATTTTCTTCACTGAGAAACTGAATATTTAGAATTTTTCTCCTCAAATTCTGAACAAGCAAATAGGAATGTGCCCCAAAATACTAAGTTCTCAATTTTCTTAGTTGAGAAAGTCAGTGTAATATGTAAGAGAGTTATAAGGCGTATGAATAGAACTGAATTCACCGCTACTTGCTTTACTGTTGGGTCTAATACTATTCAGAATGGATAAGTGTCTTAAAGAAATGGGCGATTCATAGCCACACTCTGAATGAGAAAACCATTACATGTGAATTCAAGTAAAACAATCCATACTATGATTTACCTAAATTTACATATTTATTAAATATATCTAGTAATGTTATTTAGAATCTTTTATACTGATAGTATGTCCATCCCTATCCATTTAAACATTTGGAGTCTTGGTAAGCTTAGCAGTTAAATAAAAACCGGCTTATTTAAATGCATAAGGATTTAACAAGTATTCATTTGATAGAATTTCATCTGCTTTTACAGAAATATAAATCAACTGCAGTTAAGAGGTGATACTGAATATGATACGGAGCAGAATGCAAGTGTTATATTTTTACCAGGTGTTTGGTCACTATTATTTGCTAGCAAATATTTACTCTCTCAAACTGAGCAGCACTGTATTCTTAAAACTAAAAAATAATAGTGTGCTCCTGATTCACAGAAAAATTATACATATGTAAACTAAGCAGAGAGATATTGGATATCTTATTTTTGTTTTATCAGCAGGTACATGCAGGACAATTTTAAACAGTGTTAAATTTTTTAAAAGTTTTAAAAAGATATTCCTCTATATCACGTTAAATGTATATAACATTACAAAAGCCATACAAATCTATAGTCTCAAGGGAACAATTATAAAAATAAAGTTTAAAAAATCAAATATTGGAAGCAAATATTAAGACTATATAGCCAGTTGACCAAGTTCCCCTTATTTGATAGCAATAAATTTGTGCAAAAATGGTCTATTAAGACTTTTATATTTCTTTAAAGCACATATACTCACAAATCCAACATTTCTCATTTATACAGAAATGAACATTTGCTTTACATTTTTAAAATACAGTAATAGTCTTAACAGAGGTAATTCACATTAGTGTTTACATAAATATTACAAATTCAAATTACTTCAGTAACAGTTTTCAGTTGAACACTTTGATTCCAGTACTTATAGTTCCATTTTTACCTATAAAGGCATTACATTATTACTTATTACCTGCATATCAGGAATGAAGTGACTTTTTTAATTTAAAAAAACTTAAAATATCAAAAATTAATTTTATAGTTACTCTGAGATGAAGTTACTTCTGTTTTATTTGTAATCATGAATATGCTAACTACATGCTTTAAACTAACCAGTAACTTCTGAAACAGCACTCTAGCATGATAGATACCAATAAGATTAAAAGCTAAGTCATAACAAGAAACCAACAATGTGGAGTAACATTCATAGTTAAGACAGTCAGTTTGGTGTGGTGGTTAAAGCCAGACCAGACTAAAAAGCAGAGTTCTAGTTCCACCTTAGGCACTAAGTCAGCTGGGCGACTTGGACCAGCTTACTCTTTCTTAATCCTAGGAAGGTAATGGTAAACTACTTTTAAAAATGTCAAGACAGCAAAGGCCTTGTCCAGGGACTTGTCAGGAGTCAAGACTAAATTGAAGATATGGGTAAGAAAATTTGTTTGGGGCCTTCAACTTAAATCGTGATTGCAATTTTCTAGAATATTTTGCTAGTGCCTTCTTTCTAAGGCTGAGAGACCACTTGCCTCAAAGTCACTCAGTTGGGTTTTGTATCTAAGGCAGGACAAGAACTCCAGGCCTCTGCCTTAATCTCATCTCTTAGTCACTAGACCTACTGGTAGTCTTCAACTTAGGACCACAACTGGAGCTGGAAAATTTGTTGTTAAGCAATGCAGTTTTAAATGAGACGTGGCCTGACCCAGTTTTATGAGCTTTTTGCCGCTAAGCAAATCACTAGTTTTTAAGGAAAAGGTGACTGACTTGCAACTTTCCCTACCATCTTTCCCATTGACTTTACCGGAAGCTGACAGGGAAGGTCACAAATGGTGATCCCATGACACTTCAACAGGGATCAAATACTCAGATCACAATCATATGATAGAGCAATTTTTACAATGGTGGTTAAGTGCCAGACGTGGTCACAAGCCACTTTTTCCAGGGCCATTGTGACTTCAAAGGGCCATTGAACAAATGGTCGTAAGTCAAGCACTGCCAATATTTTTCAGACATTGTCCCTGAAAATTTAGAGAGCAGGAAGACTCCTTCATTAACATAAATGTGGAACTTTAACATAATCATATTCCTTATTGAAGGGAAGCATGCAAGTACCACTATTTTACACTACTAATAATGTTCTGAATAGGCCCAATCACCAATTGTAATAGCATTTTCCCCATTTGGCCAAAGTCACAATTTGCATTTGTATTAATCCAATTATAGTGCAAACTTATAATGGAGTATTCCAAAATACATAGCAGCTATCATGCTAAAAACTAAAACATATTTACATTTTTAGGACCATCTTTGTAGTCAGTTTAATAGAAAATCCTTATAATTTTTTTTTTAAAGTTACAGTGTCATACATTTTTACCTAACAACTGCATATATATTCCATTTCAATCTTTAAAAAGGAATATCTTCGGCCTGAATTGATCAGAATCCATCTTTGTGCCTCTGCTGGTAGTATCAAAGAAAGGTTTTAAGAAAATCAGAGTACTTTTTATACATGCAATGATTTAAATATTCTCTACAGCAGCTTTAATATAAAAATATATTTATACAATTTATCACATTTTTGCAGCCCAACAATATACTTAAATATTTTTATTACAAACAACTGCTATGCATAATTTTTGTATTTAAAATACTGCACAATGCAAGAAACTATTGTTTAAAACTCTAGCTACCATAATATATACTGTATATTAAAATAAAATCTAAGACTTCATTAAGGCATTATTTCAAATATTTAAAAGATAATGAGATCCTGCATAACTGATTCAAGAAAATAGATAAATGGTTAATATTTGTCTACAAAAAATGTAAATTTTTAATGATTATATATCATTCTGTGCATATTTCTAATATCAGCATATGCTTCCAGCATTTAACAGATTATTGATTTGTCTAACAAGGAGTTTTAAAATAATTCTGTCATAAAATTTCTTATGCTGCTACTCTCATATGGCAAACAGTAGTGTGACTATTAAATTTCTAATTAAGAGTACCTGAATATAAGGGGAAGTGAATACCCATTTAATGCACTTTTTCACTTTCTTACAAAAGTTCTAAATATCTCACAACCAGAATTTTTAAGTATTTCATAAATACTTTCCTTGTTACTCTCTGGCTATTCAGTTCATTAACACGAATCATGCTTCTTAGGAAGCCAATTTAATACACTTGTAACTGTGTAGAAAATGCAATATTTCACACTGTGAAAGTTTTGTCCTGGAGCTAATCAGTTCACAAGGAAGTCATAACTACAAAATGAGATCAGACACAAAAGCCTGGAAAATTGCTACAACATGCAGCCCATCTATATCAACCAATAAGGCTCTCTCTATATCTTTCACTTGAAAGGGAGCATTTCAAAACTGAAGTGTTTGACACACTTCTGATATATACACACATGACACACAACACATACTTTGTGTGTGTGTGTGTATATATATATGTGTGTGTGTGTGTGTGTGTACATACACTAAGCATAATATATACAGTACGCGTGTGCATACACACACACACGTATGTGTATATATAAATATATGCTATACATACGTACTAAAAATAATCCCATATTGTCATACTGAGGTAGTACAGTGTATGTAGACTATATTCAATTTTTACATAGCAAGCTTGAAAGTGCCTTTACATGAAAAAAAAAATGCATGTAAACATTTCATATCATTAAAAATCTCCTTTTGTGGCAAACTTTTCATAAAGAACACAATTTTCAAAAGGAGACAAAAACTCTCAAGGCCATTATAAAGATCATACTACCTTGTTATTGCATGTATCCTTTGGTGCATAAGAATAATCCTTCTATTTCAATCATGTTTCTTTAAAGCAGTACAAATTACTTTACACACTGGTGAGGGTCAACTTATCTGTAAAAGGGCTTCTCTGAGATGATATATCACACTCTCCATTTCAAATTTTGTGAAATATTTTTTCATGAGAATTTAACATTTAAAATAAATTTAAATACTTAAAAATGTTCTATGGTCTTCATATGGGAATTGAAAATGGATACATGATTTAGGTTTTTATAACCTATAAAAGTGCTATAATTAGTGTGAAATTTTAACCAACTATGGAAATCAAATCCAAAACCTACTTTCAAATGTATTTATGGTATTTTGAAATGTTCTAAATCAAGTCATTTTTAAAAGAAATGGTATTCAAGCTTTTATTTTAAAAAAGCTTCATCTATTTATCATATGAAAGCAATTTAAATATAAGTTCCTCATTTAAAAGAATAGCCACTTTAATTGAACTTATGCAAAACCAGCATTTCCACAAGATAAAACCATCTTTGATATTTCTTGATCCCACATGCACATGCAAGGGACAGTTCATTAATGTGTACTTTCCAAATGAAATGTAGCTAAAGTATGTAAACTTAAACATCACATTAGGTTGGAGTTCTAAGGATTTATATTCATCCCCAAATCATTCGTATTACACTACACATTTCCAATATTATTTATGCTTTTGCTGAGCTGTGGGATGGTTTGATTCAGAAGTGTGGTGGTAAGACGTGTCCAACTGCATTCCAGTGGCTAACAAAGATCTCTCTTTGTTTGTCCCACTAGTATCTGCAAAATACAGTTTTGGTCGCTGGTGGTATTTAATTCTATAGGTATCGGTCATACAGTTATCAACTGAGAAATAAGTAGTAAGTGATATAACATCATTTGCATTTGCATCCAGGGAACTAGAATTTGGTTCAATAAAACAAGTCTGTTTGTTTAAAGGATTACTGGATATGGTGCATAAATCCTTTCCTAACGAACTTGGTGAAAAACTCATCTTAGAGGACTCATTGCAATGAAATGCTTTTAATCTTTCTTCATTTCCAAATGAACTTGTTTCTGGTATACTTTTTGAAGTAGCAATAGCAACTTGCTTTTCAATTTTTGGATGATCTCTAAAGTTTAACTCCACAGTGGATTCTTGTTCTATGCCATGCAAATGGGACAAAGTATATTTCTTTGGTGGTAAAGGTGGTGGAAGATTTTGGTAAACTGTTTCTGTTGCATCATCATACTTGTTCCTGTACATGCTGGTTTTATGTCCAGTAGAGGGAGCAGATTCAGTACAACAAGGCTTGGTTTTATTCTGTTGTAAGAAAAATGCAAGAGCAGGAGTAGAATTAACGGTCTTTGTATGAGATACTGGGCAGGGGACTGGCAAACTGGTAGATGAAGATTCACAGTTGTTTTGAACTCTTTCAGAAATGATTCCATGCTCTCCAATATAAGAAAAAACTGAACTGTCAGCACTATAAGTATTTGTCTCAGTAGGTACATTTTCACCAGACTGTGGTAAAGAGCTTTGCTCATTGATTGTACTGTTTCTTATTTCTTTTTCAATGTGATCTTTTAAAGCTGTCTGCACTGTTAACGTAGGTAAAGACTTCTTATTGCAATCTGGTATGTCAGTCCTAGAAAGCAAAATATTTACGGATGTAAGTATTAATATAACTATTGCAAAACAGTAAATATAATCCAATTCTATTTGAAATCACTAAAATAAAATAATCTTTGTTATTTCATGGTGGGGTTGAGGTAAGCCTGTAAGTTTTAAAGAATCTAGTCAGATGCAAACATGGCAATATTGCAGAATCCAGAATTTTGTAAACAAGTATACAGGTATAAACAGGCTTTATATTCATGACTTAAATCAGTAAAGACAGCAAACACTCTTGGAAAAAAAATAAATCAGCCAGAAACTACGATAGACAATAAACTGGTAGAGGGAAATTATGGAAGAAACATTCAGATTGTCTGTCTCCATTAACTATGCATTAATGTCTGTCTAGTTGCCAGACAAAGCCAGTGCTTTAGGCTCTGAAAATATAACATTTATAAAAAATAAAAAGATTGCAATGATAGTTGATATAAAGAAAGTCATCAAAAGATGGGAGTGCTTCTCCCTTTTATTACATGATGTCAAATATATGTCTACATGACATTTGACATAAACTGATACAATAAACCAATGATTTTCAAACTATTCCATAGAACTCAAGAGTTTTGTGAGAGCCTAAGATCAAAAGAAAAAGGGGGAAAAAAGTTCACTGAAACAGTCAATTTTCTATCATGAGAGCTTTAACTTTTGATCAGTAGTTCCAGGTTTAGTTTTTTAGCTAAGTTTCTATAACTTGAAAAAATTTAAATCCCCCTGAAAAATAGTACTGACTTTAAAACCCCTGAATGAATTGAAAATTCTAGAGATATCTAGAAACATGTTTTAGGATACAATACCCGATTCCTATTCCCAAAGTAATAGATTCTTTGCTGCCTCATTTTCATATGTATGTTTAGCCATCAGATATAATCTGCATTGTCCAATGGCCAATTTCTAATCTGTTTAAATAACAAGGTTTGAGAGTAATCTCACCCTTACAAATTAACTCTGGGACAATACAAGAGCCGTGATTGGTAGATTTTCCTGAATTCATATTCCATCCATCCAGGGTCACCAGCCAACAGGACAAAAATCATCAATTGTTCTATTTACTGTGGGGCAGGACAGACTGCATAATCTCGGGCAAGAGTCAGAGGATTTTCCTTTTTGTAGTTTCCTAAGTGAAAGATTGCTGCTGGTAGGTGTTCAGTTCCAACAATCTGTCACTTGTGTTATTTCTGAAAGTGTGAAAGCTGATAATAGGGGAACAGTTCTGTGAAAACTACAGGCAAGTAGTCTGAAACCAGACTATCTCGGTTTCCAAAAAAACAAAAGACAGATGGAAACTATCTGTTATGCCAAAAATAGAGTAACTTCAGGCCCATTACACTACACAGGCAGGAGAAAAGGTCCAAGAATATGAACATTGTTTTTATTGTAAGTGGAACTTGCATTTGATAAATAGCTGTTGCTGGTATTCTTTCATAATGGTTTCATTAATTTACCAATGCTCAAATCAAACTCGGTCCCAGAGGTGTAGAAGCCAGCCATTTTTAAAAGGAATTATAAGCCAGTTATATTAGCAGTTGTTTCAGGGAAAGGAATCAAAGGAATTAAGAACAAAGAGGAAGATTTGCTGAATAAAAATTGGCATGGATTTTGCAAGGATATAATAAAGGATATAATAAAGCAGGAAAAGATACAGAAGTGGAATACCAAAATAATCAGGAGTTCAAATATCTTCTCTGTGACGTAAGCTACTATTAGCTTGGAAAAACAATGGATATGATCAAGTTTATTGAATCATACATGACATGGACAAAGTGAACAAGAAAAAGCCCCCCCCACCCCCAAAAAATTACTATGACCATGGGCTACCTAGTCAGAATAACTGGAAGATGATTTAAAGTATACAAAAGGAAACAATTCTTCCTCTAAAACAGCGTCCCCAACCTTTCCACTTTGTGTACTGGTGGCGGCAGCAGCAAGGGGGGGGGGGGGGGGTGGTCCTGGGTGAACGGCAGACGAGTACACTTTTGCACGCAGCTTCATTTGCATAAGCAGCAGATGTGTGTGCCAGCTGCTCAAACAAATATAGCTTCACTTGCAAGCACCCATGCCTGCTGCTCACTCAAGTGGAGCTGTGCATGCACTCATTGTGCAGCCCAGTTCCAAATGGGCCACGGTCCAGTACCAGTGTGGTCTAGAAGTTGGGAACCCTTCCTCTAATCTAAAACATAATTAACTTATGGAATTCATTTCCACAGGACATGATGATGGCCACCAATTCTGATAGTTCGTAAAAGGGATTAGGTAAATTCATGGAAATTTTTCAAAGGGTCTTAAAGAGTAAATGTTATCTCTAAGATAACATGTCCCCAAATACTAAATGTAGAATAACAAAAGCAGTAGAGAGATATGTGTCTACTTTGTGAGCACGGGCAGTTTGACCATTATGAAAAACAAAATGTGGGATTAAGATAGCTCTATTTCAAAGGAATTGTTCTTACACAGATATAAATCCCATGCTAATACAGCACTTTAGTATAATCCTATTTTTTTCTGAACAAATAAAAATAATAGTTCATATTTATGGAGGAAAGCAATAGAATGTAATCAATCTTAAATCACTAATGAACATAAGCTGCTCCCTATCTGTGAGTCTGAATGGCCTGGATAGTAACAGAAGAGTGCAGCATGTGAGCATGAACATAAAAACTTAGTTTTTCACAGATTTTGTCATAGTTGAAGAAAAGATGATATAGATACCACATTCCTTTTTTGACAATGTATTTGACATCTCTAAAATGGTAAGTTATAGTACTTAATCTTTTTCTGTTGTTCAAATATTCACCTGTGCAATATTGATTTTATCTGGCATTAGAAAAATAGAAGACTCCATATAACACAAGTAGACCTTGACTTACAACAGTAATGGAGCCTGGTTATTACTGTTTAAGTTGTAAAGGTCCTAACATTTGACCAACCAGATTTTATAACCTTTTTAGTGGTCATTAAGCAAACACTGCAGTCATTAGACGAACCCATTTTTCAGTATGGGATGTTTTTGCTAAAACCTTGAAGTAAATATCAGGTTTTTCAGTTACCAGAGGACACTGTCAGCAAGCTGTAAATGAAGGTTGGTTGATAAGCACTCAAATAGGGTATTGTGGTGGTGGTGGGCAGCCCTCAGAACTTTGGAACTAGGTCATAAATATCTTTTTTTGGGGGGGGGGGCATAGCAACTTTGACCAGTCATAAGTGGAGGACCGCCTATACCTATTTACAGAAGTCATTGAAACCCCAATGCATCCCCAATGTGAAAATTTGCTACCAATCTAAATTGAAAGCAAGGTATTTGCCAGTAGTCTTAGTATATGGCAGTTGCAAAAAAAATAGGACATGCTGTTTAGAATTGGAGAGAGTAATTTCAGAACTCCAAGGAATATCTGGAGACCTATAGAGCCATACATAATATAACATATCCCTGCTACACATTACAAGGTGCATAGGTAAAAATTACCTTTGTATCTGCAGATGAGAAGTTGATGAGAAGTTAGGTGGCTTGTAGTTAACATGCGTATTAACTTCATCTTTCCTCAGTGCTGAAAAACAATCTTTGTTATTTACTTTCAACATATTCCTTCATAGTTAAGATTTACTTAAGTTAGACTGGTACAGGCAAATCCTTCCATCATAACACTCATAATTTTAAAATTCAAGGTAAAAGTATCAACATTTGTTCATCTACGTTTTTCAAAATTATCCTTTGAAATGCCATAATTAACAGTGAATAACATTCAAGATATTCAAAAGATCCTTTCAGACCCTAAGGAAATCAACCTAACATAAACTCCTTCAAACCCAGAGTTTTCAACACAAAAAATATGTATGCATTTGACACAGATATAGGCCAACAATAATATTTGGCTCGCTGAACATTTTCAGTGCCATGTTCTACGGAACTTTTCAAACTGGTTGCTCGTTTGTCTGCTGTTGACTTACAACTGGACTGGAGAATCCCCACAAAAGATCCTGCCAAACTACAATGTTAGCATTCCTTCTCATTTAGCCCTGTTGGCTGGAACTGCTGAAGAATTTTAAGTCAGTAACACCTGCAAGACTATGGGTTCAACATTCTTAGATTATTATTATAAACACAGCTAGATTTGAAGGAAGTTAGGAAATTGGAATACTAGAAGAAAGAATGAAAAGCAAGAGTTCTCAATTTCAAATGTGTACTGCAATATGTATCCTAGACTTAAAAATAAAGAAAAGACAGTTATAGGTAGTCCTTGACTTACAACAATTCATTTAGTGACCGTTCAAAGTTACAGCGGCATTGAAAAAAGTGACTTATGACAGTTTTTCACACCAATGACCATTGTAGCATCCCCATATTGTAATACTGTTATTTGGTTTCTTAAATTAAGCAGGGATTATACTACAGAGCTTAATGGTCTTTTCCAACTCCAGCTATAGGTAATCCTTGTTTAATCAGTTACAATAATAATGAAAAAGTCACCTTATGATCAAGTCTCACATTTATGACCGTATAAAGCAAAGGAAAACTGAAGTAAGAAAAACTGAAGCACAGTCTTGGTTTTACTTAGCAATCACTTTGATTAATGACTGAGTTGACGGTCCCAATTTTGGTTGCTAAGTGAGAACTATCTGTATAAACATCAATATGAACCTACCATGATAAACAACATGTAAAATTAATGTTAAAAGAAAAAGGCAAGATAGCTTAATCCTACATCTGCTACATTTACAGATGTGTGATCTGAAAGGGTATTTCTACTATTTGTTTTCCCTGACTAGATAATGGTAATTAGGCATAAATAAGTAAATGTTTAAAGGGCCAAATATAATTAAATTATCCTATGAGATATTGTTTTGAAAATATTTTCTAAATACATTTTCAAGCCAATATACATTTTTTACTGGTACTGGTACTATTTTAAATTAGATAAAAGTAACAAAGTATCTTGAAACTCCATGAAACATTATTATTATTATTATTATTATTATTATTATTATTATTATTATTAT